CAAACATTTTCTGTGGTAACAGAACATATTATAACATGAATAAATATAATGCATTCAGGCATTAAAATGAATAACAGTCCTTGATCTATTTGCTGAAGATTACAGGCATGAAATGTGAAAGCTGTTAGTGGTTTGAAGAAAGATATTTGCTGTAATTGGCTCTGCAGCTTTGGTTTTATTACAAAATATGAAGGAGATGACCAGAGAGGTGTCCAGATCCTCACATTCTATGGAGAGATTGCAGTGCATCTCATGATCATAACTTTGGCCAGTGGTTTGCTGCTTTTTGAATCAAGAGATTCTAAAATCTCAGAGTAATGTATTTGCCACACATGAGCTGCTGCTTCCTATTCCAGTGGGGTCAAAGCCTTGGTGGTGGTGAGGGTTATGGCTACAAGTGTAAGGAAAAGGTTTCCTGGATTCACAGGGTGCTGTATGAATTAAAATGGCATTGCATGAATGGAACACTTTGCTTTAAACACTCAACCCTTCAATTTCTGTGTTGTTTCAAATTGGAGCAATGTAAGTAGTGTACAGAGAGAAGCTTTGTCCTCCAGAATGGAGATAACTCTTACCATTCTGTCCCTCCTCAAGTGTTTGGGGCAGGCTGTTTCCCTTCCTTTCCTTCAGAAATGAAAACAAGTGTCTGCCTGCCTACAAGTGGTGCTTCTTCCCTGGGCAATGAGGAAAGACAGAGCTCAGCCCAGGAGTTTCTGATCTCTCTGTTGCCTCCTGCTCTTCTGGGACTCGCAGTGGATCAGCTGGAAATGTAGATCTCAGTGATGATGGCACTGCAGTTTTACAAGAACCTGCCTAGCACCGCCTGAGTCCTGAGGTCAAGATAAACTTCCCAACCGGGCTACCCAGTACAATGTAGTTTGGTGTGAAACCTTTAGAAATTTGTGTCATGGCAGATTTCACCAAAAGTTTAACTTGCTAATAAAAAAAGAAAAAAAAAAAAAAGAAAAAAAAAAAAAGTTGTTTCATCAACTTCTTGAAAAAAAAAAAAGTAATTGACATCTCATCAGAAAATCCCCAGCTAGTTGTGAACATTATTTTTAATCTTATTCCTTTATACATAAATTCTTACTCCTTTATACATAAGGCATAAGTAATGCCTAGTGTGTGCTTCCTTGGGATGCTGTGTGTATCTTCCAGTTTGGTCTCCTTGAGGAAAAACTAACATGTTATATTTTTGGCTTTTGAGCCAAGGGCCTTTGCCTGTAAACACCAGCCACAGCTAGCAAGGGTGTGGTTTCCCGTGATTTAAATATTTATAGAATGCCACCAGAGGGTGGAACAAGGAGGAGGGGGAATAGGATACAGCAGTGGAGTGCTTGTATTGGTGGCTGTAATCTCTGGGGAACTGCTCACTGTACAGAGCTGTCTCCTCAAAAAAATATTTGGGAATAATTGTATAGCAGTGAGAAGAGACCCTTACTTCTTGCTGATGTTGTTCAAAAGATTTGAGATGCTTGCAACTATTTCCAGCATTTATTTAGACCTCTAGATAATTCTTCTGATCTGTGGAAGGGGTGAGCACCTCTAAATCCAGCAGTGAAGTTCGTCTGGGATCAGACAAGTGAATGAATGCTTGCAGAGCCTGTGCAGATTGCTTTGCCATATTGCCATGCTCTTCCTCTCTCCTTCAGATCCCCAGTGTATCAGACAAGCCATTTCCCCTTGATGTTACAACCCCCGTAGCTGCTGTACCAAGTCATGTTTGGTGGTGGTATTTGCTGTGTGCTTTCTGAGGATTTTCTGGTCTTTATTCCTTCTAGTTACTCTTAGCATCACTGAAGTTCAGCTGGTCCAAGAATCAGTTGTACCCTGATGGATTTAAGAAGCTGGAACACACAGCAAACTGAATGAACTTTATTTAAAATAGAACCAGTCAGTTCTTTTCCTCACTAAAGAAACAGACTGAGGCAGAAAGCTGGGATGTTTCTCTTCTGTAAAGAAGATCTCACACCAGTCATACCTTAGCTGGTTTCCCTCCTCTCCTTTTGTCAGTGTTATGCATCTGCATTAGCAAGCTGTGCTTTTCATTCCAAAGTGGTCAAAGGGAACAACAATAAATTACAATGCCTTTTAAGAAGTCTCCAAATCTTATCAGATCTCACATTTCATCCTGGTTGCTCTTTCATGTCATTCTTTTACTATTACTCTAATTGCCAGTCAAAATTTATTTTGCTGCTCTTGTGCACCTAGCACTTGCAGCTACTGTTGACAGTATGGAGGCAGAAAGCAGAGATCCTCTCTCTTCCCTTTTCGTGCATTCCTATTGCTTGTGAAATTCCCAAACTTACAACCTCCCAAGTTTCTGAAAAGAGTGGCCCTCTGTGTACTCTGAGGTATTGTTACACTGTTAAAAATGGAAATCTGATGCTGCTTCTTGTGGGGTGGAGGGGAAGGAGTTGAGAAAGGTGGCGGTTTCACCCCAGCTGTCTCATGAAGTTTGAATGCTGGGAGCAGAAAACAATATAACAAATACCTGAAAATGCAGCCACCTACCACTCTTTTATATAAATTCGAGATTACAAGCCAAACTCACTGTTGACTTAAGCAGATGCAAATCTAATGAAGTCACTGCAGTTACTTCTACTTATGCCAGAGGTGAATTTGTCCCTATTTTTGGAACATGCTGGTTTTGTGCTGCAGCATTGGCACACTGTATCGTGTCAAAATCCTTTTGAGCAATGGCAGTGCGCCACTGGCTGAGTAACATGATGCATCGTGTCAAACATCTGCCTGGTAATGGTCCTGATCTGCTTTTTGACACGATGCATCATGCCACCGTGCCATGCCTGAAGGCATCTGATAGGAATTCTGTCAGGATCTGGTAATAAGAAATGTGTGCTAACTGAATATTGAAGCATTTTCAGCATTTTGTGGAAACAGTGATCTCTGTGTTAGTGCATTTATAAATCTCTTCCAAATGCCTCATGTACTTGGGTGAAAAATGATCACTAATGTACTCCCACTTCAATGTGTCACATTAACATAATAAACGATAAATCATTTTCTATTTTAGTCTCTTCTGCTTTAAGGACCAATATTGGATTTTCCCTAAGAATGATCGATTAGTATTAAAAAAAATTTGTTTCTATTTGTGATTTTACAAACTATTATTAATTGTAGGAGGGTTTTGTTCCGGAGGGTTTTTTTTTTTTGGGTGTCGCTTTTTATAAACTAACACCAGGCCTTGTTGTCGCTGCATCTGAAAGCGTTTTACCTCCGACAGAACGGTGCTAAACAAGATCCTCCCTAAAGCAGGAAACATGTTTCACAATGCTCTGCGGCGAGCGGCACAAGCTTCCCGGGGAGGATCTGCGAGGGTGGATAGCAGCCAGTGATCCAGAGGCGAGAGAAGGCCAGGAGCCAGGAGCCAGGGCAGCCAGAGGAATGCCTGGAGGCAGCCTGGCCATGTGCTTGCGGTGAAAACCCTCCAGGTTAGGAGCAGGCTCGCAGCCAGCAACAGCGAACTTCAGAAGGTGGTGCTTGGAATTGCCGGCCCACCGCCTCCGGCTCCTGGCGGGATGATGTCCTGCCTTAGGCTTGCTGCAGTAGGAAACGAGGGGAAAGAGATTTCTGAAATAACTAGGGATCAAGCAGACATTTGTAGGTAGCAATCAGCACCTGGATTTTCTGTTTTTGACCAAGGAACCAGTCAGGAGCCCATGCACTTGGTACACCTAAGTGCATTGTACCTTGCAGAAACCTCACAGTGACTGCAAAGGTGAGTGCTTCGGCTGGAATCCATTCACACAGATCTACAAAATGCAACAAGCTATCGGAGTGCTAGCTAAGAAGCATATAGCTACCTTAAAATATGTATTCACAGAACTGAAAAAAAAAAAAAAAGGAAGAAAAGAAAAAGAAAGTGAAACATATCTGCAGGAAATTGGATCTTTGTTCAAAGTATTGCAGTTTGAATGTTTTGGAGATATGCTTTCTACAAACAGGGAATCCTACTGGGGTCAGACAGAGCTATTTTAACCTCGGATATTCATCTAACTGTTCTGGCCCAGGGGATGTGTCTGTGTTTGTGTGTATATACATATACAAAGAGAGGGTATAAATTTAGAATTTTTGATCAAAGGCTTCAATTTCTAGCTGCTGTTAAATGCAGGTAAACTTCAAAACAAATTTTGTGAAAAAGAAACGTCAAATTTAGACCTGATGAGAAGAATACAAGAGCAAACAAGTGTAAATCCTTCTCAGGCTCGTAAGCTGGGATAATGCTAACAAGGCATACTCTTTTCCATGTGAGGAATGGCATCGAAAGCCTCCAAGCGCGGCACTGCAGCAGGGCAGCTCGCTGGCAGAAATGTGCACACAGGGGTAGGCCAGGAAAATATTTGAACACAACCGAAGTCATTACAGACAGATCCGAGTTTTCCATATATTTTTCAAGCTGAGAAATACACTTTTTTTTTTTTTCAACAAGTGTGAGGAGGGAAGAGACACTCCGGGCTAGTCCAGCCTGCATCCAGCATGCATCCATCCTCCTATGGAACACGTAGGTTCGCCCATCCTCCCAGCCGAACTCCCAGGGCGAATCCCTGGGGAGCCGGAGCGCGGGCCGTACAGGTGACACCTCCTCCAGGGAGCCTTCCCTGCCCCCAAAACCCCCCCCCCGCCGCTGGACGGGGCCGCTCTCCGAGAGCCCGTGCATGCTGCGGGCGGGGCTGGGCAGGTGCTGCGCTCCCGCGGAGCGGGCGGGCGGGGCGCGGAGCCGTCGCCGTCCCCGCCCCGCGCCGCCGCCGCCGCCGCCGCGGTACCGCCGGCGCGCCCCGCGCAGCCCCGCCGCGCTATAAGTGCGGGCGCGGGGCGCGGCAGCCGCCGAAGATGCGCTGGCAGCCGGGGCTGAGCGGCGCCTGGCCGCGGCCGCCCCGCGCCGGGGAGCGGGAGCAGCAGCAGCAGCAGCAGCAGCACAAGAAGAAGAAGGAGGAAGAAGAGGAAGGGGGAGACGGCGGTGGCGCGGGGCGGCCGCGGCCATGAGCTGCTCGGACGTGGCCATGCAGCAGCCGGCGGCGTGCGGAGCGCCCCGCTACCTGGCCGCGCCCGCGGCGGGCTGCGCGCAGGTGAGACGCGGGGAGGGCAGGGCCGTGAGAGTGGCGGCGGTGCGGAGGACGGGAAGGCGAGGGGTTTTTTTGGGGAGGCCCCCTCTCAGCCGGGTGCATGGCGCATCGCTGGCTGCCCTGGGCGGAGACCTCCGCCCCGGCCAGCCAGCGATGCGCTCCGCAGCCCCCGGCCTGATTTGGAGATGCGGGGAGCTGCTGAGGGTGCCCCGGAGCAACGGAGCCTGGTAAGACCTTTCCTAGCACGGGAATAAAAAAAAAAAGGAATTTTCCCTCGAATTCTTGCATCTGGCGGGTGGATGTTGGCTTGCTCAGCTGGCGTGGGACAGGAGGAAAAAGTTCTTTCCTTGCTCCTCTCGCCCTTCTGTCGGCTGCCGTGCCTTACTGGGTGGCTCTGCCCGCTGCCCCGTTTGCGGAGCGGCGCCTTCGCCCCGCGGGCGCGCACACGGGCGGAACCCCCGCCCGCCGCGGGACGGGACCCGCGCTGCTCCCCGCACCGCGACCGCGCCGCTCGCCCCGCCACTCCTGGAAGATCGTCTGGTCTGCGGCGAGTTTCCTGCTGAATTTGGTGATCAGATGTAGTTCTAATTTTTTTTTTTTTTTTTTTTTAAGCGAATCAGGAAATTCTTATCAGGCTGACAGCATTTTTAGAAGTATGCAGTGCGTGGGTGAAGTGGGACTAATATTGACTTGGCCCTAATGTAGTCATCTGAGAATACATTTTTTGGTTGTTGCTGCATTCCATAAGGTTTTATCATTATTATCCATGAAGATTGTTTTCTCCGTACATGGGAAGTGACCCCTAGTATCAACTTGCCTGGGAGACACGAGTATGGGCTAAAACATTAAAATTCCTATCGTGTATAGCTGATTTTTTTTCCCTTTATTGTTGGGAGACAGAGCCCGTTTGCAGAAATGATACCCCAGTGAACTTGTCCAGGTTGTTCACTCTAAAGGCGAGCTCTGGAAAACTTGCGAGTTCTGCCTCTTGCAGAGTGCCTTTGCTATTATTTCGTCACTAATCTTGGTCAGAGCTTGCAGAAGCTTCTGTCTGTGCACTAATTTTACTTATGGAGCTTGTATTTGGATATCTGGAGGTGCAGTTCATGGTCTGTTTGATTTGAAGGGAAAATGAATAAATAATCACTAATAGCCTGGTTCTCTGACTGAGAGACCTAGAAGTAGAAAGCTGCAATTGAAAGTCTGCTGAGCTTTCTGACATTTGACTCTGGAAGTGGAAGTCTGTATTTCTCTTCCAGATCTGCAGAACACTTAGTATGGGGAAATCTATTAAATGACCGTGTCACGTTCAAGTGCAAGTGCTTTTTACTTTTAAGCATACGTATGAAATTTCTTCCTCCAACAGCAAGGCCGTATATAAAATGTTCTAGGAGCATCCTAATGAACACAGAAGTTTCTTATAATTTTATTTTAAACAAACCGAGTTCCTGTGGATTATGCTGTTTAAAAAGTAGAGGTAGATATAAGCAAGGCAAGAAACATAGATAGCTCTGATGAGCCAGTACAGCTCTCGAGTCTCGGCTGGCACCACAGATCACATTTCCACCTGAAAGCTTTCTGAAGATGGCTGTCCTGCATGTTATTGACAGTTTAATTTAATCAATCCTGATTGCACTGGTTTTCCTGACACACTTGGAGCTGAAGGGTCTTCACAAGCTACTTGGGCACCGGACTGAAAAGCCGAGCTGTTGTTGCTCAAGAAAGTGTTGCACCCAATACTTCTAACAGCTGCTAACTTTAGAGTGGTTCTTGTATTTTTTTCTGAATCCAATGTTTCCTAATTAAAAAAAAAAAAAGTAAACATAGAAGGAACTCTTTATGCATCAAGATTTATTGTTAGGGTAGCAAGTGACATTTTGCAAGTCTTGGTTCCTTCAGAATTGTCATGTTAGAGATACTTAATCAACTGGTAGAGAAGGTAACAAAAAAAGATGAAGAATCTGTTGCCAGGTTTTTGGTTCTTACACATGTGTTCAACATGTAAAACACTCCTGCACTCTTTGTGAGGATGATGACCATTTTAAAGAATGTTCCTCTTTGCTGGAGTTAAAACTTTGGTTTAAAAATAACAGTGAGGGGAGATGAATTAGTGGGATATCTTAAAAATAAGTCTGTGCATTGGAGATGATAAAACGGAGCTCACCTTTAAAATACCCGAGGACTCCACTAAGGCATTTTTTCAGTGGTATCGTACTATGCTGGTGTCTTTCAGTTTGTTTTCAGAGACAGAAAGCTCTTCCATGCTGTGCTGCCCTTAGCTTTCCTTTTCTTCTCAGGGCAAGGAGCTGTAGGTGCGTTACTCTAACTAAAGCCTTGTATTGTAGTAAAGCCATCTCAGATGTGTAATTGGTTATGCCAGCTTAGGACATCAGTTCTGTGTGCTTTAAAGAGCCAAGCAGCTCTTTAGCTGTGGAGCTGCCATTGCAGGCTCAGGTTCTGGGCCCCGGGGTCTCTCTGGAGAGCCAAACGTGTCATGTTTCTGTGGGTCAGGGGCAGTTCAAATGGTTGTCTCCTTTTTTATTTTTTTTTTTAATGGGAAGTCTCAGACTGCTTTTAAATGATGGACTAGTGTGCACCTGGGTTGTGCAGAAGTGTTGTAGCTTTAGGGGGTGGTCCATAGTGCCTTTTTAAAGTTTCCCCACACTAAAGTCATTCCCGCATTTCTGCGCCTGTATTTTTTCCTCCCTTAAAATCGGCATGGAATTGATTTTTGCCTTGCACAGAAAAGCAGAATTTCTGGAAACGTAGCTTTCACCGATCCTTAGCCAGGAAAGGACTTGCTGGCAAATTAATTTAGATGGGATTTTTTTTTTTTTTTTTTTTTAAGCTCTTAATGGACCGAAGCCTGAATTCCTCTTGAATGTTAATGGGAGTGGAGGCTTAGCACCTTAGATCTTTGAGATTGCTCAAGTCCAGGGTGTTTGCTGGAGGGAAGTAGGCGAAACACGGATATATACATGCTCATATGGTGCCAGAATGAACTGATGAAAATGGGGTGTGGCCCTGATTTTACAGATAAATTGGGATTTCCGTGCTCCTTTGCCAGAAGACGGAGAGAGTGTGTGCCGGTGTTAGGATACAAATGTGTTTCTGTGTCTGCTGGGGAGCTGTGCAGGCGTGAGGATAAAACCCTGCAGGCTGGCAAAATTAAAATGCTCTTCTGCTGTCAGCTTTGCTGAGGGGCTGTGCAGCTGTGACAGTGAGCTTCGGCTTTCCTATGGGTTGGGTGAGGAATGGGTGTAACGGGATTCGGAGAGGCTTTGGGAACACGTAACTGGGGCAGAATAACATTGTATTCCCGGCACACGGGGACGGCTTGTCGTGTCCCGTCACAGCAAGCTGCAGGGCTCAGGCTCAGGTAGGACTCACCCTGGCACACCAACACACCAGCCAAGGGCCTCTGGAATGGGAAGTTTCGGTAAATGGCACTTTTGGAATTCCTCCATGGTATGTAGAGGCAAGTCAACATCTAAGCCAACACCGTCCTTGCCAAATCAAGTCTTGCATAAGGAGGTTGTGATATGCTCAAGGCAGACTTTCTGCTGGCAGTGCTGTAGACTGACTTGCTCCAGATAAGGCCTTGTCTTCATTAGCAATTTAGGTCATTAGCTTGGCTCTTCCTTCCAAACTGACAGAGTTGCAGACAAGGACAGGTCACATTTGATGCTGGGTCAGCTGGCTGTGGCTAGACCCTAATTCACATACTGTAACTTGTTTTTTCAGTGCAATTCTTTGCATCATGTGGCCCTGGCTTTTGAGGATGGGCTTGTTATACTGCTTATGCTGTGTGGCAGTCTGCTGTGTCTAATGGCAGGTAACAGCAGAGCATGGCTTCACATTCAAGTTCTGCAGTTTGGTTTCTTTTCTCAAGGCTATTCCTTTGCTGCTTGCTCTACTTACTTTTGTGGAAGCTGTATAACCTATATAACTCAGCTACTCTCAGATTGACAGGATGTAAAACCTGGGTTTAGGCCTTGCCCTATGTGCGAGGTTTTGTTGGTTGGTTTTGTTTGGTTCAATCCCACGAGACATCACTGATTTTAAAAGTTTGGCTCACTTTACTCTGTCATTCTGACTGGGACTAAATTCTATTTGATCTTCCTCTAGCTGCATAAAATTAGACCTTTAAACTTTAAGGGTACTTCTCTGTTTACGTGTACAGCAAAAGGTATATAAATTCATTCTTTTTTCTCCACTTCCATCCATCAGCAGAGCATAGCAAGAGCCCTCCAGGCTCTACCTCTACAAATCCAGTGGCTCGGCTGAAAACAAGCTCTCACCTTGCTCATTTGTGTGGCTAGAAGTTATTGTTCCATGTTTTTAGGGCAGTGCCATAAATACATCTTTCAGGCCCAGCATTCAGTGTCCTGACTGCTTAGAATTGTCTTCTTCCTTGAATACTTTCTGTGTTATCAACAGGAGCCTGCTTGGCAGACAGCTCCACAAATGGAGGACTGTCTGAGGATTTGCCTCGAGTTTGTTGCTGGAATTCCTTCTCAGAAGCTTATGTCAAATGACAGCCTTTTTCTCAGGATAGGGTCATATAGTGTTTCCTCAGCGTAGTTATTCTTTATTTTTGGTTCCTGTTCTTTTTCTCATAATGGAAAATCTGTAACAGGTGGCCACAGGCACACCAGACTTTCATGCTTGGGAGCATAAAGGACCATATGCTGTATGGTGGCATGTATGGAGATAATAAATTGTAGGAAAAGGCAACCAGTTTATACAAAAGTAAAAGCTGGCCTGAATTTTTGAGTGAAACTTGGCTAAAGTAAAACCTTCTCTGTTCTCAAAGTATGGG